AACTAGGAGTCGTGCCATGACCTTGGCTCTAAGCGCCAAGAACAAGGAAGGCTTAATCGATGGTTTTATGAGTAGACCAAACAAATCCTCCACCTATGAATTGCAGCAATGGAGCTGCTACAATAACCTCGTAAAATCGTGGATACATTCAATCTCACAGGACATTCGAGCAAGTGTGATCTACAATGAAGTGGTCGCTGAAATCTAGAATGACTTGAAAAATCGTTATTCTCATGCCAACAATGTTCACCTCTTTCACATAGAGCAAACAATTCTTGATTGTACTTAATCAGGCATGACCATAAGTGCTTACTATACCCAACTCAAGGGCATTTAGGAAGAGCGTTATGCACTATGCAGCATTCCTACCTACGAGTGTGGAACTATGAAGAAAGTCATGCAATATCGTGAAAACCAAACGACTTTGAAATTCCTCATAGGACTTGATGAATCATATGCTGCTGTTACCAGTCAAATTCTACTTAGAGACCCTCTACCTTCAGTTATCAAGACACATTCACTTATCCTATAAGATGAGAAACAGCGTATCGTTTCTTCTACCACAACAGCCAAACTTGATGCTGTAACCTTCACAATTTGAGACGGCACCATAACTCTAGGAGAGGCTTCACGCCACATAATCCTTATCTAAAATGTGACTGATGCGATATGGTCGACACACTTCAAACACTTGTCAATCATATATTAAGTGTGACTTTTGTGGTTGGAAATGACCACAATTGATGTTTGTTAGAAGCTCAATAAGGCCAAGGAGACGAGTGATTCACAAGATCGACATACATCCAAGGTATATCATGTCCAGTCCAAGGAAGCACCGTCCTCATAATCAAGTCTCTTCAGCCTGACTACCGAGCAATACCAAAATCTCCTAGTGTTGCTAGGCAACAACAAATCACAACCATGGCCAACTTTGTAGGTGACACTTCCAGCATTAACAACTTATTAGGGAAATCACTTCGAGGTATTGCTCTTTGGAAAAACAACTTGGATTTTGGAGTCAGAGGCGATAGAGCACATAGTGTGGTCCCTGAATCTGTCCACCACTTGCTTACCAATGCAAAATTGGATCGTGAACCTTCCCAACAGCCTACTGTGACACACATAAAGAGCATTTTCTTTTCTCCTAATTTTATATTACATTGTGCTATGTGTTCCCTCATTCCAATTAAACTTGATCCCTGTCACTAAGTTGGTTAAGCATTCAGATCATATTGCCATCTTTGCTAAAGACTCGTTTGTGTTGCAGGACCTAAACTTGGGATGATGATTGGGACGAGAACTAAACAAGAGGACTCTACTATCTTACCATCAAAGATGACAAGGCAGCATGCATGTACGTTGGGGCATCTTTGGAATCAATAAAGTTTTTGGTTTGTTATCTCATTCTGTTAAAGACGTCAATTTTTATGAGATTAATGATTGTTCCTGTTCTTTGGCTAAACATACTCATTCTCCTTTTTCCACGAGTTCCTTCAACTCCAAATCACCTTTTAAACTTATTCATGTTGATATTTGGGGTGGTTATCATGTAGCAACATACAATGGCAATCGTTGTTTCTTAACCATTGTTAATGACTCCACACAGTGCACTTAGGTTTACTTAATGCACCACAAATCTAACACATCTCAATTTTTAACAACCTTTATCAACCTTGTGGAAACCCAATTCTCTACCAAACTAAAAATTGTTCGTAGTGACAATGGTCCCAAATTCACCATGGCTAAATATTACTCTAACAAAGGAATCATACACCACACCAGTTGTGTCAATACCCTTCAACAAAACGGGGTGGCAGAAAGAAAGCACCATCACCTTCTCAACAATACTTATGCACTTCTTTTCCAAGCAAAACTTCCTAAAAATTTTTGGGAAGGGGATGCCATTTTAACAGCCACCTACCTTCTGAACTGAACACCTACACCATTCCTTCAAGGCAAAACACTCTACAAATTTCTCCACCACAAACATTCCACATATAACTAACCACTTAACGGTCTTTAGCTACCTAAGTTTTGCATTTACCGATGACAAGGGACCCACCAAATTTGATGCACGAGCCACACAATGCATTTTTTTTTGTTATCCTAACAGACAAAAGGGATACCGTCTCTACAAACTTCATACTATAAAAGTTTTTGTTTCTAGAGATGTTTTATTCCATGAGCAAATATTTCCCTACTCATCATATAAACCACCATCTGATGCCATTCCACCATCTGATCTCATTGCCTATTTTGATAATGTTATCCGTTCTCTTTTGCCTACAACTACCGTTGTGCCAATGGTGCCAGACGACAACTCCACAACAGCACCGTTTACTCCAGCCACACCTTCTACGCCGACTACGACAACTGGTGCACCTGATACAGTACTTGAGACGTCTCCACCTTGCCTTACTCGTCACACACAGCCACCTCGCTATCTGCAAGATTACCAAGTTGGAGTCCCTCTTCCTTCATGCTCCCACCAGTCATCTACCTTGGCATTAGTCCATACACCAGGTAGTCTTTACCCTTTAGCATATGTGATTTCTTATGATATGTTATCTCCTTAACATCGGGCTTTCACTACTTCCATTTCCATGGAGGTTGAACTAATCTCATTTTTGCAGGCCATGTAGCATCCACAATGGCGTCTTACCATATGTTAGAAGATTGATGCTTTAGAGGCTAATGGTACTTGGACACTCCAACCTTTGCCTCCCAAAAAGAAGCCAGTTGGTTGCCAATGGGTGCAAGATTACGCATAACCCAACACTGGCACATCCACGTTAAGGGCTACCCTGGGCACTTATATTTAGTCACTAATCAGAATACTCTCGGTTTAATTATATAAAGTTATGTAATACAATTTACAAATCATCTCTTTTTCTTACATCCTTTTCCTCACATTACTACATTTTACACTTTTCGCGAGGAAGGGCAATTCGTCGTGTAAAACGACATAGCGTCCCATTGGAATTTTTGCGACAAAAAGTTCGTCGCGCATAAATCGTCGCTCAAGGGTCATGAAAACAGACTTTGCGCAACAAGAACAAAAATTTTGCTGCGCAAGAATGAACAAGTGTGACGAAATAGACGCTGTCACGCAGAATATAAAGGAACGAAATGAGTTTGTCGCATGTAACCTGATGCAACAAAGTGAGCTAAACGAGATACAGTACATGAGATGGTGAGTCTGGTGGCCAATAATTCTACATGACGAATACTTCATATAGGACACTAGTTCATAAAAACTTTACGCGACCAAGTGTTCGTTGTGCAGTAACAATTTTTTTAATTAATTTTAGGGTAAATTACATAGTAGCCCTTCAGGTTTTGAGGTTTATTACAACCTCATACAACATCTTTAAAACATTTCACTTTCATACCTCATGTACTATTTTATTTCAAAATAATACATCTGTTACATTTTCCATCCATTGATCTGTTAAGTGCTGACGTGGCTGCCACATTTGTGCCACGTGCTGCCAAATGTATGCCACGTGGCAAAATTTTTTTTTTTTTTAATTTAAAAAAAAAACTTAATCTTCTAAATAAATAATAAAAAAAAGGTTAGAAGATCCAAATCCCATCACCCCGTACCTGAACCTTGAAAGAAGAAGAAGAAGAAGAAGAAGAAGGAGAACAACCATAAAACTTAGAACCATGATCCCGTCGGTGAAACCCATATCCCAGTTATTGGAAGTGCCCGCAATCAATTAAACATCAAGATTAAAACTTCAATCCTATCTAATTGAAAATTTAACATCTAGGTTTTGTACTACTCCAAGATTTTCACATGCGTTTTCTTTTTGTTTCCAATCTGGGATTTGTTTAGATGTGAAAATTAGAACGTGGGTTGTGATTAATCAGTGAAATTAACATCTAGGTTTTGCTAAAGCTTTGAAATTTCAATCTAAACATCGATTAATTAAATAAATAATTGGGAGAGAATGGATTTAGGGAAGAGGGGGCAATACATACAGAGTCGTGGTGTGGAGTTGAAGGATTTGTGGTGAGGATAACAGAGAGCGTGGCAATGAAGAGGAGCCCAACCCAGATCCCTTCCCCCCTGCCCCAGTGCAAAGCCCATCCCCCTCCCGGGGCGAACCCAAATCCCATAAAACGCCCCTCCCCCGCCCCCCCCCCCGACGGTGAAGTCCAGATCTCAGCAACGCCCCCCTCCAAATCATTTTCCATCTGTGGTGCACACCCATCCTCCACCTCCTCCTCTACACCCATCTCCACCTCTTCCGCGCACCCATCTTCCCATCTTCCACGCACCCATCTTCCCATCTTCCGCTACCCACATGCAACCCAAAAAAGAGGAAAAAAAACAAAAAAACCCAGCACACCCACCCTCCGCCTTAAATCCACACTCATTGGGGAAGACAGAATCTGGGTTGCAGGAAAAGAGAGATGGATTTTTTTTTTCTTTTTTTTTCTGGGTTGCAGGTAGTGGGTGTGGAAGAAGAGGTGGAGGATGTTTTTTTTTTTTCCTCTCCTCTTCTTCTTCTTCTGGGTTGCGGTTCAGCTTTTGTTTTTGTTTTTTTTTTTTTTTGGTTTTTTTAATTTAGAAGATTAAGGTTTTTTATAAAAAAAATTAAAAATTTTTTTGCCACGTGGCATACATTTGGCAGCCACGTGGCACAAATGTGGCAACCACGTCAGCATTTAACCGATCAATAGATGAAAATGTAACAGATGTATTATTTTGAAATAAAATAGTACATGAGGTATGAAAGTGAAATGTTTTAAAGATGTTGTATGGGGTTGTAATAGATATCAAACCTGAGGGGCTACTATGTAATTTACCCTTAATTTTAAGTTAAAAAATAAGAAATTGTAGATACATGTCGTCGCGCAAGGATAATTTATTTGTTTTTTTCTTTTGTTAATTTAATTGTTTTCCTTTTCTTTTTCTTTTTTTCATTTTTTTTTGTTCTGGTTACATAATTTATGTAAATAATAATTTCTTTTTTATTAAAATTGCAACTATAATGAATGGAGGAAAAAAATGACATTTAGATATCAAATAAAAATGTACGTACAAGTAAAAAGTTTAAAACTAAGAAAAAAGAAACCTATAAATATTTGGTCATTAAATAGGGTCGTCTGCAGGTAGGGGTGCGGGTCGGGCTAGAAGTCGTGCTGCTGGATGGGTTATTAATCAGTGTGTTGGGGAAGATGACGGTCGAGCTAGTGGACGGGCTCGGAGGTCGACGGGTTATGTGGCTCGGAGGTGGAGGGGACCAGCAACGTCGAGTGAGAGACAAATGCCATTCGAGCTGAGGGCCTCAACGCTCAACACGAGCTTACTCCTCAGGTCGGCCACTTTATGCGTTAGTTCAGTGACACCGGGGCCCTGTGGTTATGATGATGATAAGGCCCCAATAAAACGCTGATGAGCCTACCCCGTCATCTGACAATACTTCCCCCACCTTTGCCTAATGGTCACAATCAAGATCTGAAACCCCACATCCTCGGGCGGAGCCATGAACTCGATAGGAGTGCTTAGGAGAAGCCGGGATGCAGACTCCTAAAGGACGGTCTTGCTCCTCTCCACCATCGTCAACTATGACAATAAATGGATTGGTAAGAATTAATATTATTTAAAATTTTGTAATTTTTGGAAGCGTCAAATAGGAAATTGAAAAGAAGTACTTACGTGCAACTGCTCGGCAAGCTCATCCCTGGTAGAACATAAACATCCTTAAAGACGTCTATCTCGGGGAATTTAGAACCCCCTGGAATAAAAGCAACAAAAAAACATAAAGATATCGGAAAATAAATGGAATACTTATAAGAAATTGGAAGTGCCCATATTAAACTCTCATTACCTGTTGGTGCACCTCCATCTAATAGGAGAAAGGTCTCGAACCAAAATGGCGGAGAAGAGTTTTCTTCTCTCGGTTGATCTTGTTCACCTTCGCCTTTTTCTGTAAACATAAAATAAACGTATTAGTGTAATATTTAAAGATAATGAAACAAACGCATAAGCCAAAGTAGGAATAATTTTTAAAACAATTAAAATTAAATAAGTGATACATATATAAAAAGGAAAACTAATGAAAAAGGGCTTGAAAACTTTGAGTTTTAACGATAATGACACACCCCGTCCCGAAGGAGGGCATGCTGGCCGTCACGTGAGAGTGACGTAACCATTTGCACAGTACGGAAGCTTTAATTATACAATTTATAAGTTGATACACCCGAAGGTGAGTCCTAATTTTGTCCAATCTGTCAGAACACCGTCGAATTCCTCGTAGTCACCACACCTTTGTGATTCCTGAACCTGGAGGGGCGCAAAACCAAAATTGAGTGGGTCAGTAAAACAATTCTTTTCCAAATCCAAACATTTCTCAAAACGTTGTAACCCCTCTCCGTAAAACCTGTATACTTTCCCAGAAATGTAAAATATAAATATACATATATATTCTCAAAACTTCATTTTTACTATCTCAACATTATCTCTTTATCAATCATGCCATGCCATGTCATCTCAACATTTCTCATATTAATTATGCCATGCCACATCATCTCAACAGTAATAAGGTATGAATGCATCAACATAATCATATCAGGTGCAAGAAAGTAATCAACCGTAGGCCCTCTAATAGCCCTATACGGTTGAACCTAGAGCTCAAAATCTATCATTATCACTCTACCGGAGTCACCTCTGTGACCCGTCCGGCCTTCTGCACGCAAGTTACGCTCTAGTGCTTCTCATAAATCATCTGTGCACATAATCTAAGGTCACCCACCAGTCGGAATCTCACTAACACTCTCGCGACTGGTCTGTCGTACCCACTCCGCGTGGACTGTACGACTAGCATCTACTTGGATCCAAGGCGAGCGTGCGATGCGGTGAATACTATAAGCACTAAACCATGGTGCAGGATTTGAGCTCAATATATATCATCATCATCATAACAGTAATTAAATACTCATCTGTGCGTCCACCGCACCATTTCATACATATGCATCATAAATCAATTCTTACATTGTGCGTCCACCGCACCAATTCATACATATGCATCATATATTAATTCATGCATGGCATTTCAACTCACATTTCTCTATATACTTTTCATATCAATTCTATGCATGGTATTTCACTTCCCGTTTTTCCACATAACTCATATGCATTTCATTTTAAACATATTTTCATTTCAATTCAATTTCTGGGAAACGTCAAGTATATATATATACGGAAAACAAAACTGCCCACTCACCTGGAGTTCGTCCAACAACTCCCTAGCACCACACATCAAGGCGTCATGACGATCGCCGCCTAGAATAGTAATCAAATCCAGGCTCAGAATTCATATCGATAGAATACATAACTTATATAAAATACGTCACTACGTTGATCGATCCGGAAGATCTGCCACTCAGATTTTAAATCCATAACTTCCAGAGGTCCACATTATACCTCTAGGACAACATCCTAAAATTTCATTACCATCCAACGGTCGGATCTCCGTCAATTTCCAAAACTAAGTGACGGTTAACATTTTATATTATGGACTTACAATTCCAATTCCGGAAGATCCGTAACTCGGATTCCCAATCCGTAAGTTCCAATAATCCTCAAATATTACGTACTATAACGTATCAAAGTTTGGTGATGATCCAACGGTCGGATCATCAATTCACATTTTCACCTAAATGTGAAAACTATAAAAAACGTTATTTGAACACCTAACCAACAATCTTCAATAACTTTCTCATACGGTGTTCAATTTAGGTATATGAATATACCACAGTGATCTACTCGACGTCACGGACGTCGACATATTTTTAAAATAATTTTATTTTTATTTTTTATTTTTACTGTAGCACCTTCTTCTTCCTTGGGTCGCCGGACTGGTTTTTCCGGCGGCCGTTTTCTGAACAGTTTTTCAAATTGCCATAACTTTGTCATTTCTCAACGAAATCAAGTGATTCAAAAACGAAAGTTGTAGCCCTTGAAGAGACAAAGATAATGGTACCTTGCACAACACCTAGTTCGCCGTGGTTTGGCCGGAAACTGTCTCGAAAGCCTCGGAGGTCGCCGGAAACTGGGTATTTTTCAAATGAGTATAACTTCTTCAATACTCAACGAAATTGAGTGAAACAAAAAGGAAAATTGTAGTACTTGACGAGACGAAGAGATTGATACCTACCTCGACTCCTAAATCGCCGGGGATTCGCCGGAAAACGCCTCGAAAGCTCCGGCCAAATTTTGAACTTGTCTATCTCCGTGTTCTTACGTCCAAAAACTTCCAACGAAGCACTCCGAGCTTCCTTGGGACCTCACTAAGCTCACTATGAGCTTGGATTGTCCTAAAAATCAACCAATTCAAAGCTCATGAACAGTACACTTTCATGGGGAGTTTAGAATCTAGGTTTTCCGAAGTAAAACTTACCTGAAATGGATACCAACGTGATCGTGAAGTCCTCAGGATTCCAATGGTGGTCTCAAACTTGACGTTGGTATAGATTTAGGGTGGTTTTGGTGGTGGTCCGTGTGAGTTCGAAGGAGAGAGACAGAGAGAGTGAGAAATCGTGAAGGAGGAGAGAGAAAGACAGTGAACGGGAAATGAGGAGGGTTTTGAGGGATGTGGGGATCCCACGTGGTCCTTATTCCAATCTCCAAACACCAAACTTTAACATTTTAACCTAAAAATCTAAGTTCCATCCTTATTAAATTCCATTTTATTTTCAAACTTAGGAACCTAGATAATTAGCAACCTGAGCTTCACAAATTTAGTATTTCTTAAGGGCAATTTCGTTCATTCACAGCCACGAATATAATAATTTGGAACGGGCTGTGACAATCTTCCCTCCTTATAGAATTTCGTCCCCGAAATTCCAGCAACCAACCAATTCATCAACACTTATACCAACCTCGGTAAGTTTCTTTCATCCGATTCTTTTTCTCCCACGTAATTTTCTTCCACTGAATGATTCCTTCACAAAACTTTTACCATTTACTCTATCTTAACTCTCAGGACCTTCTTTTTCCAATCCAAATTCTACTTTTCTAAGGTGAACACTTCTAAAATATAACCATTTACCTTATATACTCGATTAGTGGCATATCCATCTGTTGATGTCTTTTGCCATTCCTGGTTACTTCAGGTTAACTTAATCACCTGAATACTTTGAGGAAACTCATCCATAGTCTCAGGGTCTACTAAAACTCTTTCTTGATCGAATCCTTCTCTACCCAGAAACATTCCATTCACAAGTCATCAAAAACCGACTCACATGACACATTTCATGATCCTTATGGCGTTACTTCGGAAACTGCACAACCAACATACTTAAGAAACTCAGCAGTTCCTTAAACCAATTCTCTTTTCCATAAAACAAATAAGTAATGTTGCACTGTCTGGGAAAGGTTGTTACTCAACACTGGAGTAAATGTACTAACTTGTTACTTAACAAGTATAACTTCTTCTCGATCTTCCATTCTTAACTTTACTTTAGTTGATTTCCAATCCACAAGAAGATAATCTTGGCAAGCGTACTAGATATTAATTCTTACTGCAGTCTTCTTATCAAGTGCTTCAGCTAGAACAAACTTTACGATCACCTGATCGTACAATCATGTTCATTAAGCAATACAATTCACTTTCGCTGCCTCATATCAAAATCCTTCCAAGTAATGGATATTGAAGACTCTTTTGATTTGTAAAATCTTGCATTCTCACTAAAATATAATGTCTCCATAACTTCACAGCAAGGATGGTAATCGTGACTTCCAAATCACTAGTAGGGTAATTCATCTCATGAGATTCCATTTGTCGTGAAACGTATGCAATCACCCTAACATTTGCATTAGTACATATCCAAGAACATTTAATGTAACATCACCATATACCGATAATTATCGCTATCTTCTGGGAATATTAAAATACGTGCATGAGTGAGGAAATACTTCAGTTGTTGAATCCTTTGCTTACAATTCCTTCCCACTCATACATAACCTCTTTTCTCATCAGTCTCGTTAATGACAACGCAATGACTAAAAATTCTTTCACAACCATCCAAAATAGCCTGGTAAGCTAAGAAATTCCAAATCTCAATTACGACTCGTGGTTGTTCCAAATTCTCAATTTCTGCTATCCTTTAAGGATTCACTTGAATACCTTAAGCAGACATAACAAATTTTAGAATGCCACTTGATCCATTTAACTTTAGCTTTTGCTAAACTTAGCATACAACTAACGTTCTCTCAATCTTTGCTTCATTGACTTAATACGTTTACATGCTCTGCTCTAGGCTTAGAGTATACCAGAATATCTTCAATGAAAATGATATCTATTTATCAAGGCATTATTGGAATACTTCATCCAATAACTCATAAAACAGCATGAGTATCCATATAGCATCACCAAACTTCATAAAAACTATAACAAGTCCAGAAAACCATCTTATGATCAACGTCACTTATAATATTCAATTGGTAGTAACCAGATCTCAATTCAATCTTTGAATCTTCGCAATTACTTCTGAGCTGGTTAAATAAACATCAGTACATCACCATGGATAACGGTTCTCAATCGTTACCCGACTCCATTGTCTATAATCAATGAACAGTCTCAAGATCCATTTTTCTTCCTCACCAACAAACTGGGCTCCTCAAAAGTGTTGTACTAGGTTGAATAAAACTTTTATCAACCAATTCTCTCAACTGAATTTCCAATTCCCTTAACTCATCCTGAACCAATCTCCAATATAAATTTATACCTGGCAACAAATCAATAATGAACCTCATATCTCTGCCTGAAGGCAATCCAGGTATACTTTCAAGGAAGACATCAAGAAAAGTCTAACTCTTTCGACATTATTCACACTACTCCAAACAACATCATTTAGCACCACATGAGCTAAGTATTTTTGACAGCCTTTCGAAAACAATCTCTTTGCTCTCACAGCATAAATAACAGCCTGACTCAATCCATTTTGCATACTTACAAAAGTAATCTCTGTTCATCCAGATCGATGGAAAGTACTGGTTTCCCATAACATTTCGTCTTGTCACAATTATAACCAACCAATCTAATGGAAACAGAATTAACTGATACAATATATATTCTATTATTATTAAGCATTCCAAATA